ATTGTACAAATATTAAAGGTCTCCCAAGTATGCAAAAAGTAGACATGAAAACCAAAGGTAGCATGGTGGCCATGATCAGCTTCACTGGATCTTTTTCAAGCAGCTTTCTGACTTGCTATTCCCATCAGATGTGGCTGTACCACCACACAGTCAACCCCACTGTTCCCCTCTCTTATTCCTCTACCCTTTCCCATTGGTCACTTTCCTGTTCCCAAACAGACCCTGTAAGGAGTAAGGTTTCATGTGCTCTAATCTTACCGGGGAGTGGGACCGGCGGTTCTTCTCTCTCCAGTCTCTCCATCTTGACTCCTCCTTACTACTTCCTCTTTTCTCCTTGTCTCCTAGTCCCTCCTATCTTCCTTTCCTATTGGCCAACAGTGCTTTATTCATTAACCAGTATGAGAAACATAGATACAAAATGACATCTCCCATCAAGACCCCTTATGTTTTTGTTTTCAAGTCCTATGGGGTTTTTATAATTTAAATCTATTTCAATATGATAAAATATGCAATATTTTGTTTTTCTGAGTTTGACTAACTTGATATGATGATTTCCATCCATTTTAAAAAAAAAACACCTATTTTCAGCTAGGCATTGGTATGCCTTTAATACCAGCACTTGGGAGACAGATCTCTGAGTTTAAGGTATAATTGGACTACAGAGCGAGTTTCAGGACAGCCATGGATACAAAACCCTGTCTCAAAAAACAAACAAAAAAGAAAAAAACCAAAATTTTCAAACTACTTCAGTTTTGAAGATGGATTTTCATTAGTGTATGAACATGAACAGTTCCAAACAATGGTAACTGTGTATCAAAAGCTATTAATTTAACCCTAAATGAAAAGCAATTAGAAATACCAACGGACTACCTGGAACTCAAGTAAAATCCTTACCTCATTAAAAACACTGTCACTTTTAACAAACAAAATGCCTCAAGTTTTTGTTTATTTTTTTTCCTTTTCTTCTATAATTACGTTTTTCTAAAGTATTAACATGACACAACACAGTAAAATCTTGCTACTTCCTACTTCTAGTTAAGAAAAAAATCATAAAACTTTGATAAACAATAGAAGTTTGGTTTGACTAATGGAGTCTTTGCAGTTTTACTAACATGAAAAAAATACATATTTGATGTGTCATAATGTTCTAAGTTTTCAAAAACAGAAATGACACAATGTTATCATTGTTTAAAGTGAGTACTAAGTACTTTGATGGTAAATTTTAAAGGAATATGTTACAGGAAAATGAGGGTCATTTAAGAGAAAGTATAATGGTATCTTATAATTGTACATTCCAAACAGGAATTCAGAAGGAACACTGGTCATCTGGTTCCATTGGCCATTGTATGCATATACTAACAATCTGTTCATTTTGTTGCTCAGAACACAGCACAATGTACATATCCATTTCTACTACAACTGGACATTTGGGTTGCTATCATGAATTAAGCCATTGCTCACATACAGTTTTATGGACATCTGTGCTACATGCATTTTTCTTCGAAATGAACTTCTTCAAAGTGCAACTGCTGGGTTATCAGGCAGTCCTGCTCAGCTTTAGTAGATTCCACCAACAACATTATTCTTCTTGAGGTATTAATGGAAGAAGCAATATTACTTTTAAAATGCAGAAGGAGTTGCTCAGTTTTCTTTTCTTATATTACTTAGGAAAGAGAAAGTTAGCTTCTGGCATAATGGCACTGTCCAGCTCAAATCATCTGCATCACCTTAGACACATTTTTAGGAATGATTCCTTCATGCTTCCATTCTTGGCCAACAAGGCCGCCACCACCACTTCATTATTCCACTACTGAAATCAAGTACCAATGCAGTGAGCAGGTGGAAAATGTATTTCTTGAGGAGAAAAAAAAAACTATACAAATATGAATTATTGTTTTGTTTGATCTCAATTTGTTTACATCATTTTTTACCTACAGGTAAAATTCAAGCCAAAGACATTCACTAATTTCTTTAAAATCTTTGCTTTTCTCTTATTATCTTCCTAATAAAGAGAAAGGTTCTAGAATAACTATGACAAATATGGCCAGAGGCTGGACAGCTACCTACAACTCCAGCACTCCAGGAGGAGCTAGAGCCCTTCTCCTGGCCTTCCTGTGATTCAGAGTTGGGGTAGAAGGTTATAGAATGAGACTCTGTCTCAAAAAAAAAAAAAAAAAAAAAAAAAAAAAAAAACAGAACAATGTAAAAGTTGGCAACTATTACATCTGGAGAAATTCAAGTGCTAACAAATGGTTTCAAATTGAAGGACAGCTTTTAAAAGAAGAGGCACACAGCCTTGTATTGGTGGCACATGCCACTAATTCTAGCATTCAGGAGGCAGAGGCAGACAGATCTCTATGAATTTGAGGCACAGAGCAAGTTCCAGGACAGGCTCCAAAACAATACAGGAAAAACCCTGTCTCAAAAAACCATAAATAAATACATACATACATACATACATACATACATACATACATAAAAGAAGAGGCACACTGAGCCCTACAATCAGCCACATCAGAAGCAGAGAAAAAGGGGAACACAAATCTCATGACAGATATGAAAATGGTATTAGCATTTCTTTCAAAACATAATGACCAACTGAAATTTGACACTTAAAATTCTAACCTGACAAACACATCAAAAAGACATGCCCTTGCACAAGTAACGTTTCCAGGACAGACTATCAAATTTCTTGGAGAGAATAAACTAATAAAAATCTCATCAAATCATCTTCTTCATCTACCAAGAGAGGAAAACACAACAATGCAACCAACACCATAGAGCTTAGTTTTCAAAGATGTCAGAGCCAGAGGGCCCAAAACCAGAAGTTCAGATAATCTTATGGGTGAGACCTAAAAACTGAGATAGATGGAGGACATGGCTAGCATGCCACTGATTCACAGAAGACAGATCTGAAGGCAGGTGCTGAACAGAACAAAAATATCTGAATATAAACCTCACCAAACACACAAGTCCGATACAATGCATATTAAAACTTAAGAGACTGCTCAGGGAAACTATTGTTAAAGTTGGGAAGTCATGTGTAATGCTCCACTACCACCTACTTCATCCCATGCATGAGCGTGCACATGTATACACACGCAAACACAAACACACACACACACACAGAGAGCTACTCATGTGCATTTTCATGTTAATAAATCACAGTGGAAAGACCAAAGACTTAGATCACCAAGATGTACAGCCAGTGTCTGAAATAAGAGGAGGGAGAGTAAGGAATACATTCCTCTTGCCAATATACAACGATTAAGAGAAAACAAAAACTACAGTTACCCTGAAGGAGCAGTACAACGAGACGATACACTTCCCTTTCTGGATGCTACATTCCTTTTCCTGTCACGTATCACATGTTGGCTTTAGAAACTGCAGTGTCCACAGAGTTTTTGATATTGGTATTTAATATCTGTCATTTCTCCCCCGACCCCACTACAGAGATGGCTGAGTAGTTAAAAGTACTTTCATTTTTTTTTGCAGACCACTTGGGTTCAGTTCATAGCAAGCACATGGTGATTCACAATATTCTATAACTCTATTTCCAGGGGATCCAAGCCCCTCTTCTGACTTCTTCATGCACCAGGGACATAGGTGATGAACATATATATATATGCAGACAAAATACTCATACACAGACTGACTCAGACCCCCTGAACATGAGTCTCAGTTAGAAGGCCTGGATAGTCTAAGGTACCTCTGATAGTGGAACCAGGATGTATCCCTGGTGCACAAAAGGAATTTGGGAGCATATTCCCCTAACCTAGAGGCAGGAGGGAGGGCCTAGTCCCTACTCCAAATGATTTGACAGATTTTGTTGACCCCTTCCTGGAAGGCATCACCCTCCCTGTGGAGTGGGGGTTGGGGGGCTGGATGGGATGTAAAGGTGGTCAGGGGGCATGGAAGAGAGGGAAGAGAGGGAACTGGGATCAATATGTAAAAATAAGAAAAAAATAACAATAATAAAAAAGAAGAAACACTATGATGAGAAAAAATATAAAAGAAAAAATAAAACAAATCTAAAAAAGCTGAACACCAGCCCCCTGCAAAATAATCATCTTTTCACCCTACATTTTCATAGTTACACACAAAAAAACCAAAGTTACAATATCTTTAAGGTATACACTAAACACAAAAATCAAACTTCAAATGTAACACATCCTTCATCCTTGATACCAAAAGTTCCAATCAAGTAAGCCTAAAAGCGTTCACATAAAATATCTGAATTTTATATACTAGAAGAGATAAATGAATCCACCAACACAATTAGTCAAGCTTCAATCCCATTTGGCAACTCAATGAGATGGCAAGACAATTCAGACATCAGAGAGAGGTTCATACACAAAGGATCCCACAAACTCTGAAGCATGTAAATTAGCATTATTCGCTAATACAAGCAGAATCTTTTTGTTTTAATAACAATTCACCTAAACCAGTGGTTCTTAACCTGGTTTGCAACCCCTTTGGGGGTCAAATATCAAATATCCTGGATATCAGATATTTACATTATAATTCATAACAGTTGCAAAATTAGTTATAAAGTAGCAACAAAATAATATTATGATTGGGAATCACCACAACATGAGGAACTGTATTAAAGGGTTGCAAAATTAGGAAGGTTGAGAACCACTGATCTAGACATTAAACATTGCCAATTAAATATATATGTGTGTGTGTGTGTGTGTGTGTGTGTGTGTATACATATATATATTTATTTTAATGATCAATTTAAAGTCAAATGAATGCCTATAATGAACCAAAACATTGCAGTTACATAAATTTATACAAAGTCAAACTACTATATGCATACTTATATCTAAAGCGATCTCTTTCTCTTGTTTATCTTTAAAATTTGAGACATATACTATAAATTTTAGACTGTACTCATAGCACTCTAATTAATACCTTCTTAGGCTATTCAACTCTTAAAAATCACAATTTTTTAGCATGACACTTAACGTGAACATTATTTTACACCACATACTTACTACATCAAACTTCTGAGTGATATTTCCCTGGACATCAAGTAAATAAACTTTTCCATAATGTGTACCCAGTGCCAAAAACTGTAAGAAAAACAGAGAGGGCAATTAATAAATATACAGTGAATTAGTATACAGCTAATATAAACCTTTTCAAAGTGAAAACACTTAATAGATATTCATCTGCAATATCTTGGAAGATACACATTCCTTAAAAAGGGCACGCCTCCAGCTTGGGGGGAATGACAGAACCAGGCCTATTTACCATGATAGTGCAAGCCAGCTGTCAAAATGACTCATGAGGACCCTCACCTACTGACAACTAATGGTGTGTGTGCATTCTGTACACAATGCCTGATGGACTGAGGCAGTAAATTAAAAATGCAGCAGTAAAGCTGAACCATGCTACAGCTGAACCCAAAGTGAGAGAAAATGATTAAGAAACTCCCTAATTTAAGTTAACTGAGGAAATATAGGCCAGCATTTCAGTCCAATGGGGAGGAAATACTTAACAACAATAAAGAATTGTTTCTGAATGGAAAATTCCATGCCATATTGAGGGATGAAAAACCTCAGATGTTCTTTTATCATCAGCTTCTGGATATCTCTGTAAATGGTACCACATAACACTGAACATAAATGTTTATATTCCAATGCAAAAATAATCCTTTCCTGTCACTAAGTAACTGCTGAGCTACATATTCATTTTATGATATCAGGCTGCTTCATGCGTCCCACTGTTTCTTTATTCCTCTGAACTGATCCTAAACAAGCCAGAAGAAACTTAAGGACTACCTGAAATACGACACGAGATTTTTCTTCCTTTTCATTTCTCTAAGCATTACTCAAATAGTCCAGAATCCTCTGTATTTCACTATATGCGAGCATGCTTCATTGCAGCCTATAATGAAATGCTCAAATTCATAGGCACTACTAAGCATTTCAGTCAAGCAGCACAATCTTTAAAAAATAACCTTACGGAAAGTCAAGATTTGAAAGGATTTATCAAAATAGAACTGCTAAAAATGAAATTTCAATTCCAGCACTTAAAATACGGAGCTACATTAAAGAGGAGCCACAAAAGGGGGAAAGGGGGCTCATTAGAAATTCATCCCCTGCAATGCCTTTCACTCCTGCAAGGTTGCCTTTTTTCAGGAAGAAAAAAGTCCCCTGGGTAAAAAAATCAATACTGGTTAATAAAACATCAGGTGTGCAGACATAACTAGGGATGACGATTCCGCTGCACAGGACTGCCTGAATGCACCAGGTGCCATGACGATTAGTCATCTGGGGCAGACAGCAAGCCTGGTGCAAACAGGAGGCTTGGGCGCTGCACGAGAAAAGGAGAAGAGGTGATCCTGGAGGGAAATTAGTCTGAATATTTAAACCAAGCAGGAACGCTTTCTCCAAAGCACAAGAACATTCTAATCAGAACTAGAGGACCCAAGTGGTTGTAATTTTACCTTCAGAGTGACACTGACTCTCTGAATAGGAGATGCCACATAAAATGCTAACCAAAGGCAAGTGACATCCCATTTGACGGCTTTCTGCGGTAAAAGAATGGGTCTTAAAAGCTCACTGCACCCCAAGTATCTCACAGTATCGATTCTCCTCATAAATTCTGCATATAGTTTGTTAGAAAACTGAGGGGGTTTGGATCCTAAACATGCAGTAATATTGTGTTGCTCTGTGGCATTATTGTAAAGGCTATTTTAAGAATAATTACATTTTATTTTTGAAAAAAATCAAAGTTTAAATACAATTCCTTATCTCTGTTTTGAAAAATTACTGTTTTTAATCACTATAGGATAGTTAGATATAGTTTTGATTTTATAATTTTTATGTAAAGGTACAATAAAGTTGGACCATTTATGAAAAAAATTACTGGTATTTGTATGATGAACTATCTTTTGTTCAAGAAAACATCTAACCATTTAGAACAGTAAATAAATGCTACTGCCTCTTAGAAGAAATCAACTATATGCCCTTCCAAATAACATTTAATTTGTTGATCATATTTATTTGATTACTGAAATATGGATAATTCATATTTGTATTGAGTAACTTAAAATGGAGCAAAAATGCAAAATACAAAATTACCCACAATATGACAGAATGCAAGAACAAATCCTTCAAATTTTATTTTCCTTCTAGCCATTAAAAACCATCTGGGCTCATTGGGTCAAAGTACTTGAGTTTAATCCCTAGGATCTTTGAGGCGTATGAAGAGAAACAACTCCTTCAAGTTGTGCTCTGACCTCCACACATATACAATGGCTCAATCATACCTATATTTACATATATACACTCTCTCACACACATGCACAGATAATAAACAAACAAATAAATGCACAAGGCACAAGAATGTACAAAACGCTTAACCCTACAAGGAACATGTATACCAGCCCCCTCCTGTGGATCACTGCAGAAGTAGGGTAGGAAAGAGCCAGAGGTAACAGATGACTCTAAGGAAACATTGTCTTCTGGACACAGTGGGGCAGCTGCATGGCTGCACTCAGAGCAGTTGCAATGGTATGCGCAAACATCTGTGCAAGCCCAAGCCTGACCAAACCCCATTAAGGAGATAGGAATTGGGCATGCATTCCCTTGTCATGGGTCTAATGGCAATTGTTAGCTGCTGGGAGAAAAATCAGTTTTCTCTAAAAGTACAGCCCCTGGTAAGTTGATCAAGTGGAAGGCCACACACCCAAGAATATTTGGGCAACACAATTTTGTCTTTGATGGGTTGAAAAAGAAAAAAGAAAAAAAAAAAAAAAGTTGGGTGGATGACAAAAAATGGAGAAGATCAGACCTGGTAATGGGGAGAACTGGGTGAGCAGGGTGAATATAATTAAAAGATATTAAATTCTCAAAAACCTAATACTTTTTTTAACTCCTTGGGTTTCTTGGGTATTAGATTTTGCTTTTTATTTTAGTCTGAAAATATGTAAATCTAGGCTGTATAATCATCAATATAGCTTCAATGTCCTCTTTAATGTTTAATTAAAGGTCAGACACCTTAACCCACCAACTGTAGTGCTTCCACAGTGCACAACTGAACTTTATGTGGGTGAAACAGATGGCTTTGTGAGCAGGTCTGTGGAATCACCACGGAAAGAAAGCACACTGCATGTCCATTCAGCCCTTCCTCAAAGTCTTTTATAATATTCACAGTACTGCCCCTAGGACAACATCCAGTTACACGTGAGGAATTAGGTCCCAGAAACTGATGAGGCTTCATAGAAACAAGTACCAAATACAATCAGGGACAGAAATAAATACTGAAATGCAGGGCCCAGGAGGTAGGTGGGATACAGAACGCGTGCCTATGATGCCCTGCATTCAGTTCCTAGAGCGGCAGAAACAAAGCAAAATAAAACTCAATCAGAATCCTCTTAATAAAAACATGGGCCTCGATAGGTCTGTATTCTAAATGTCAGCACTGACAATCCTTCCCAACCATCAGGCTCTCGGGTCGATTGGTTGGTTATGCATGATATTAACAAAGGGACAAACATGGCTCTCCTTTTCATGCATTCAAATGTTCATTCAACAAGCTCACAAAAATACCCATAATGTACTCAGACAATGAGAAAATGCAACATAAAGATTTTGCTGTACTGAGGAAGACAGATGTAAAAAGTAAGCAACTGCAATTAAATGTAAACACTGTGTTTAAAGTGGCAGTTTCTCTAAAACCCTCAGAAATAGGAAGGGTTATGTGACAAATCTGGAAGGAAGAATTAGAAAGCAGACACAGACAGGGAAGAGAAGGCCAGAGTGGAAACAACTTGCTCAACAACATGAAGTTCCGTAACAAGGGACAGGAAATTATAAGCAGCTTTACACAGATGAAAGAGCCATCTAATTCATGCCCAAGAGAAAAGGCAGGTGGTACAGCTGGAGAGGCTGACTAACAAGGAGCACTGAATAATTACAGAGGGATGAAAGGTGGGGCGTGGGGGAAAGCAGGGTAGACAGGTCCAAATCATTAAGACATCAGGAATCAGCAAGTTTCAAGGGAGAAGACTGAACGATCAGACCAGAATCTCTGGAGGTCTCCTCATGCAGAGGGTAGGAAGGGGAGGGAGAGAACAAATGTGAAAGAAAACAGACTAGTTCACGGGAGGTGCAACAGTCCCAGAGAAATGATGGATGTGAACAGACAGAAGCTCAGGAGAACAGTCCAGCACATAAGCTGGTGGCAGAGTCCAAGCATGAGCTTAATGTGAATAATAAGGACAACGCATTGCTGCCACAGCCCCACGCCCACAGCAAAAGTGGTGAGACAGGAGCTCAATTACACACAGCAGGCAAGATCCTAGACAGCCTTACACACCACACTGAAGAGCTCTGCCGCTACGTAAACGATGAAAATTACACGAGGATTTAAAAAGTTCTGTATCTTCAACACGATACCCTGCAACCAGGAGGCAGAGGGTTTAGACAGGAAAACAAGGGCCCCCCATTTACCAAATGCAGGAAGGAGAAGCTAAAAGCCAAACCTCAAGTTTAGGAAAAACAAAATCACTAGGACATGAGGAATGGCTGTAGGGAAAGGGCAAAGGGGTCACTTTCGGCTAAGGTAATAGAAGATGGTGGTGCCACCAAATGAGATCACATAGCACAAAACAGGTACAAGTTTAGAATGAAAACAAGATGATCCCAACATGTTTGTGATGAGGTTCAGATAAAAAGAACAAAGACAGGGAGCCCTTAGAAAACACACGTGCTGTTCTGAAAGCTCAATATGCAGGCAAAAAGAAAACACAAACCAGCATGGAACTAAGAGGAGCCAGTTTTAGAAAACTAGAATGTCAGGGGAAAGTAGGGGAAAGAGTGGGAACACCACAAATGACCAAGGGCAGTTGTGATAAAGAAGTTCTGACAAGAGAAACACACACCTTAAAATTAGCCAAATGTCCACCAGTCAGTGAATGGCTACAGAAATTATGGCATGGCCATACAATAGACTACTCTTCAGCAGGAAAAGGAATAGCACTGATTGATCCCTGCTATGACATAGAGGAACTTCAAAATAGTATACTAAGTAAAATAAGTCTGGCAAAACAAATGAAAGAATCCGTGACTGCATTTATCTGAAACAGTCTAAATAAGCAAGACATGTATGTATAAATACACAAAGTACATTGTTAGGTACCTAATGCTAATGTTAAGTGTGTTTTACAGTTTAGCAAATACACAAATAAGAAAGGGACAAAATGAGATGAAGAACAGAGGTAGACAAAAAGAGCCTTGAACTGGAAGAAGAAAATCTCCTATGGGTAAACGTGGGAGTGGACTCTGAAACTGAGGCTGGCCTTGCACCATTGTTTCAACTTTCTTAAACAAAGGACACTACATGGGGTGCACACCTGTAATACCAACACTCAGGAGGTCAAGGCGGCAGAATCATGAGTTTAAGGTGACTGTCAAAAATCTAAGAGAAAGAAAAAGGAGATGGGAGAGGAAGAGAAAGTCAGGGGAAAGAGAATGCTATCATCTGAGAACAATGACTGAGCAGGTGAACTGGGAACACCAGGAATGAGGAAATACAGGTTACAGCAAGCTTTGGTAAGAAAGCAAGCCTGAGTGCAGGAGATGCCACAGACTATGACTATTTCTACCATTGCACAATGCATTCAAAACGGAGAGTATAACTCAAAGAACAAAAAGATGGATCAGGAAGACTGGTAGATGAAAGATAATTTCACAGGACAGATTACAAAGGAAAATGAAAGAATAGAGATTGGGACACCATAGTTAGGAATGATGTTTGCGTGAAAATGAACGTGAAGGTCTAAAGAGAGTATGCTGCAGGCCAAAAATCACCATGTTCCTCATACTGAAACCACCCACAATGTGGTCATAGCTGTGGGAGATGCATCATTGTGCTGGTTTGAATAAGAATCTCTCCTCCCCACAGGCTCATATATTTGAATGTTTAGTCACCAAGGAGTAGCATTAGAAGGATTAGGAGGTGTGACCTTATTGGAGAAAGTGTGTCACCTGGTTGGGAGGGGTGTGCTTTGAGGTTTCAAAAGCTTGCGTTAGGTCAGGTTCTATCTCTCTGCTTAGAGATCAGGGTGTAGTTCTAAGCTACTTCTCCAGCACCACCCCTGCCTCTTGCTATCCTCTTTGTCATGATGATAATGGACTAAGCCTCTGATCTGACACTGTAAGTAAGCCTCCAATTAAATGTTTTCTGCTGTAAAAGTTGCCTTGGTCATGGTGCCTCTTAACAACAATAGATTATGCTAAGACTACAATAGAGAAATGAAGTTCAATGGAAGTAAATGAGTTTGAAGAACCACAGGGACAGCCTTCATCAGTGAAGAAGAACAAGGGTTAGCTAGAGCTCAGCAGCCATGACACGACAGGGAAAGAAGGCAGGGGACTCACAGGCAGGAGTTTACACGGGAAAAAAAAAAAGAGCTGACATTACTGCATTACTGTTGAAGTGTTGAGTGAATATAGGGATTTGTTTACACGGGAACAAAATCTAAAGCAAAAGGCATTTGGTGGGAGGCCATATAGAGAATGAAACAACATAGCATAAAGCCAAAGGACACATCAAAGGTGTGTAAGGATTCAGGCATTGTGCTGGCCTGCCCTTGTCACTTGGCAGAATGAACTCAGGCAGTACCCTGGTCAGCCCAGGTGCAAAGGACCCTTTAAAAGAAAGACCTCTGCCCATCTATACTCTGCTTTCTGCTGTCTCTCTCCCTCTCTCTTTCCCACTCTCTTTCCTCTCTTCTTTCTTTCCTGCCCCTCTCTTTCCTGCTGTTCCTTTGGGGCAGACAGGATTTTTCCTGTCTCCCTCTTCTCTTCTGAACTCTCTCTGTCTCTGTGCTTCTTCACCTCTTTTCTCTTCCCTTTTCCCTCCCTCCCCTCTCTAATAAAACTTCTCACTTAAGCTCTGTCTGCCTGGCATGTTTGTCCCTCCTCTGAGTCAGTACCCATCCTCCAGCCCCCAACACACACACACACACACACACACACACACACACACACACACACACACACGGAATCCACGCATGTGCATTATCATAACAAGGTGGGAAGGTCTAAGGTTCACTCCCCGACTCACAGGGAAGAAGAGAACAATGGGTGAAACCATGGCCTCCACTAAATAGTCTGGGTTCAAGAATAAACTAAGGTCTGACCCAATACATAGTGTAGTCTCAGAATGTGTTCTTGCCATAGCAAGAACACAGATGTCAGGCATCTGTAATCCTCTAACGTGCTCATTACCTTGTCATGGACTGTCATACAGCTTGCTGCATCCTTCTGAAGAATCTCCGTCACCCCATTGGAAAGCCTTTCATACTTCAGTTTGGGTTCCTCTTCACTCTCTTCCTGCATGAAAAGCAGAGGAACACTATAATCATTGTGGCTTTGTTCTGAATGACTCAAAATGAACTTAAGGGGTAACAAGGGATAGAGAGGTCTTTCATTGTCAAAAACTATAACAATAGATATAGGTTAAGATTCCAGTTTCTTTTTGCCAATTACATACATAGTTTTGCTGGTGGGAAAAATTAAAAAGTGGTAAACATGGATATTTGAACTTACTACTGTATTGTAATAACTATATGTTCACCCTTACTATATGGTACAGTATCTAAGATATTCTCCATCCTCATGATGACCATTACAAATCAATAAGTCTAGGATAACTATAATATTATTGTGATTTAAGGGGGTATAATTTTACTTGTAAGTTTAAAACAAAGTTCACAAGCCAAAAACTGTAAAGGCTCATGTCCAAGAAGTTAGCCCTACAGTCATGTACTATGGGCAACACTAATTCAATATATATATAAAACTCAATTGGATATATATATATATATATATATATATATATATATATATATACACACACACATATGAAGAGGATGACATGAATTTAAGAGGGGGTAGGGAAAGGAGTTAGAATGGGGAGAGAGGAGGGATATGATAAAAATTCATTATGCTCATGAATGCAACTCTAAAAAGGAAGGCATCAGCCCCCACAGCAGCTCACACAATGGCTGGCAGGTAAGGGTTGACTTTGGTGGGAAGATTGATTTCCTCACTCTTGAGGTTTTCCCTGGGCTGCCTGAGAATCTCAAAGGCATGCAGCTTCTCCCACTGTAAATCAATCTGAGAAAGAACATAATAAAGCCATATGCTTTGTTAGGCCTATCTTCCAAGGCTGCACACTTCATAGGTACAATAGTCTACTGATCCATATGGGTCAGCCATGACTCAGTGTGGGTGAGGACATAAGGACATAAATGACAAGGTGAGGACTGTGAGGGAGGGGCATCACACAGCTATAAGAATATTAATAAAACATCTAAAAGAAACATTCCGTGTACACTAATGAGCATACCTAAGTTCAAGAGTACATAAGCTACCAGCTGTTGAGCAACCAAGTATTACATCAGGGACTGTGCATATACTGTAACTTTCCGGGACTGAGAACTAAGAGCAACAAAATGCACAGGACAATGCACAGTATTCCACAGGAAGAGGAAATTACACTTCCCAATAATCAACCCCTGCAATGACGCTAAATCCCCAGACTAAACTCTGTTGATGTATAATATGACACTGCTAATTAACCAAGTCTCTAAAAACTAAACAGGGAAGAGTATAAAAACAGTAAATCTGTAATCTCCCAGGAAGAAAGAGACACTAGACAGGAAACAGTAGATGTCATGCAGGTGAGCTCTGTATGCTGAGAGAAATACAAATTGAATCCTGAACAGCAGCCTTTAGAATAAGATGCCACATGTTGCTCAAGAGTGAACATCTAATGTGCACTCAATGTGAAAGTTAATTCTAGCCTCCCAACTATTTTGCATAAAAGCATTCATCCACGGACCATTAGATAAGCTTACTGTAAATAAGGTTTGCCTGCCTTATTTATAAGTGAAAACTAAGTAATCTCTCTCACATAAATATACCAAAATAAATACTTTTACAACACAGTTCAGTGAAGCATTCCCACAAGGTTTCAAAAACCATAAATAAAATGTAAACTCAGTATTAGGCACTTTATGTACCATTTCATGCTTTCCTGACAGGTATCCTTTATGTTTACTTAAGAGCAAGGTAAAGGTGAATTTTAAGGCTTTTTTTCTTTTTCTTTTTTTTTTTTTTTTTTTTGCCTCCTTGTCAAAAGAAAATAGGAAATGACTCAAAACTACAATTCACAGAGGTTATTCTGCTATTGCAGACTCTATATTACATTTTAAATAAAAAAAATTTAATCACAAGGATTTAATATCTGTTTCACTTTAATTTTGGGAAAAAAATTAAACAGAAAAAATGTGCAGTTTGAACTTTCATGGTAAATAACTCTGTGTTAATAAAAAGCAAATCAATAATTTTGTTAAATTTTAATAATCCTACAAACCTACAAATAAAACCATCAACAGTCTGAGTTGAGATGACAGTTAACTGTGTTACTATGACAACCTGGTGGAACAGAACACGTACTGACTTGCAGCTAAGTGAAGATATGAATAGAGTGACATTTACCCATACAAGAAAAGTTTGCAGCTTTCCTTCAAAAAGAATCAATTTCTCAACAAACACAGATTCGTACTAAGTGTATAGCACTTTTAATTAAAGACAAATCCTTGAACCATCCTATGAAATTCTAGAACACTATCTGAAAATAAATATCATTTCAGGGTCACTTTTGCTGAGTTCTGAATGTAAAGGGAGAAAATAATTTCAGAAAATAACAAACTAAAGTTACTAAGGGTTCCTCTGTAAGAACTTTTTCGGTAGTGTGTCCTGGAAGGACGAATTCCCCAGCAAAGTCAGTTCAGGCCACTTCACCTGGCCTTGTGTTCCAGCACTAAAATCATTCCCATCGTTTAAAACCTAAGTATAAGAAAAAATGTAGTCTAGCTATTGGATTTGACATTTTCATCCTATTTTAATTTTTGTCAAGATCTTTGTTTCACATGTTAATATATTTTATACAATGCACCACTGTTATGGTCCAAATAAAGACTTGAATTTCACTTATAGAAAAAAGAAATGTTAGCTGTAATCCCAACTACCAGGGAACTGAGGCAGGGGAATCCCAAGTTTGAGGCTTACCTGGACTATACTTTAGTTCAAGGCCAACAGTGTTAACTTAGTAAGACCCTCTCAAAACAAAGGTACTGACTAAGGGCTAGAACATAGCTCAGTGCATAATTAGAATACACAGGTCATCAGTTCAGTCCCTATTTTCACATGCCCCAAGTGTCAACCATGATATATATTCTTCCTAATTATACAAAAATTAAATGTTTATTTCTGGACACACCTTCTTTATTAAATTCAATTTTAACTTTAAAAACCAAAATTGACATTAGATAGAATTAAAAAGTGAGATATCACATATTGCCCAGATTAAGCTTGTAAAAACATCTGCAGGAAATCACTACTCAGCAACCCATCATGGCTCTGTGCAGATGGCATCCCCCTTCCAGGACACCTCGGCTGAACCATTAGGAAATTTAATCAGATGAATGGTTTACCTAGTTTCCTGTCATCAGCTACATCTGACTAGGGGCAAATCCTTTTAATAAATATCCAGTGTTTTAAAGCTGGATACAATAGGGAGACAATAACATCCTTAAAGAAATTCTCGGTGTTTAAAAGAAATAAAAACAAAAAACTGCTCTCATGCAGCTTGAATTTCCACAGTAAAAACCAAGTGTTAATAAAAAGCAAATCAATAATCAACCATGGGTATGAAAGTCTAAAATAAAGGTTTGCTTCCTCTAGGACATTCTGTCTAGAACTCTAATTACCTTGAGGAAAACTGAAATACTCAAAATTGTACTCATCCTTACAAGTTCAATATATAAAAAATAACTATCAAAACACAATATCAGAACATTTGAATTTCACAATATTTGTATTTTAAATTGTCTCTTATCATCAATAATTCACTTAATGATATATGATAATATTTCTGATCAAAATACAATTTGAAACTCAAACACATAAAAATATAAAAATAAAAATATTTTAAGAAACAGATCTAACCACTTCTACAGAGTATTAAAAAACAAGCAGCAGAAACAAATGGAAATCACATATTACTGCAATACACTTTCACTTAAACTACCTTATCTATAAAAGTGCATGCACACAGACTTCCTCAAATTTAGTACCCAAATCACACCTTTATCCCAACACTCAGGAGGCAGAGGCAGGCAAATCTCCATGAGTTTGAGGTCAGCATGCTCTACAAAGCAGTTCCAGGATAGCCAGGGTTACACAGACAAAACCCATCTTGAAAAAACAAAAAAAAAAAAAAACAAACCAAAGTAAACAAAATCTTCAGATGGGTAGAGGAGACCTAGGGAGAGGACAGGGATTCATGAAAAGACATTGTAGGTAAGGCACAAAGTCAGTCAAGGCCTAAGGCCTTCAGCTAGCTTTCTAATGCCCCTCCGCCAAATGCACAAAAAGAATGTGGTCTCTTTAAAAAGGCAACTCATGCTGATAATTACTGAGTGCTATACTTCTAATATAGAAGCAGCATTTTATTTATACAAAAAATGAGCATCTGATAAAAAAGATGACTTCACAGCTCCTTCTAAAATGTCGAAATATATCAAGAAAACTACATAATGAAGCTGAAAGAGTAATTTCTGATTTCCATTAATAATATAAGGTATTACAGCTGCCTCAATGACCACGAAAGTGACATGAAGATAACAGACCACCTGTATAAAACAACTGTGGTCACAGTTTCCAAAATGCCTTTCTATAGGGCTGCTGACAGATAAGCAATTACATTGTTGTATGAATGCAAATAATGGCACATTTTCATCTTTTAAGCAATGTTGCTAACATAAAAAAATTCATAAAAACCACTGAAAATTGGAACTGATAAATTAAAATAGATGGATCAGGTCTGCTCTTTCAAATGTATTAAAAAGTCAACATGACTTTTTTTAAGTCTTGTCATATTTCCCTTCTTGCCTTTGCTTTTTTAAAAATTTATTTATTTATTCTTTTTCTCATTTATTTTATCTTGACCAGGTTCTCCTCCCTCCTCTACTCCCAGTCCCTCTGCCAACCCCACCCACCTATCCCCTTTCCCCTAGATCAAATCCTCCTCCATTTACCTTCTGAAAAGAGCAGACCTGTCAGAGATACACTGAATATAACCTAACAAGATACAATAACACTAGGCACATACTCTCATATCAAGGCTCGACAAGGCAATCCAATAGAAGGATCAGGGTCCCAAGAGCAGGCAAAAGAGTCAGAGACAGCCATCACCCCACTGTTACGTATCCCACAAGAACACCAAGCTACACAGACATAACATATATGCAGAGGAACTAGTT